TCTCCCTCCCTCCCGAGGATGCTCCAGGAGCCTCCCCCCTCCATTCCCAGCATTCCCAGCCTAAACCCCTCTCCCGTTTTTCCCCCTCCCTCCCGAGGATGCTCCAGGAGCCTCCCCAGCATTCCCAGTGTTCCCAGACTAAATCCTCTCCCATTTCCCTCCCTCCTGAGGCTCCTCAGCCTCCCCCCTCCATTCCCAGCATTCCCAGACTAAATCCCTCTCCCGTTTCTCTCCCTCCTTCCCGAGGATGCTCCAGGAGCCTTCCCCCTTCATTCCCAGCATTCCCAGACTAAATCCCTCTCCCGTTTTTCTCCCTCCTGAGGATGCTCCAGGAGCCTCCCCAGCATTCCCAGACTACCCGAGGATGCTCCAGGAGCCTCCCCCCTCCATTCCCAGCATTCCCAACCTAAACCCCTCTCCCATTTTTCTCCCTCCCTCCCGAGGATGCTCCAGGAGTCTCCCCCCTCCATTCCCAGCATTCCCAGCCTAAACCCCTCTCCCGTTTTTCCCCCTCCCTCCCGAGGATGCTCCGGGCGCTGCTGCCGCTCCAGGATTTCGCTCTTCCCTGGGAGATGCCGGCGCAGGGCTGGGACGCAGGGACGCAGGGACACAGGGATGCAGGCGCCGCATCCAGGTTTTTGCTGCATCCCTGGCAGCCCGGGGATGATTCCCGGGATTATCCCGGCGGGAGGGGGGGGATCGGAGGGACCCCCGGGGGGGGTTTTTGTGCCGGAGCCGCCGCTCGGCTCCCGGTGAGGTCTCTGTGGCGCAATGGACGAGCGCGCTGGACTTCTAATCCAGAGGTTCCGGGTTCGAGTCCCGGCAGAGATGAGCTCCAGCCAGGTGGCCCTTTTATTTTACTGCCCATTCCCGAAGAATTCCCAAAAGATTCCGTGGAGAGACACTCCCGGTGAAAAAACACGGGATTTTTGGGTCACGGCTGCTGCTCGGGAGGGTTTTGTGCTTCCCCTTTTCCGGCGTCTCCTCCGTCAGATCCCACTTTTCCTGGCTCCTTTTGGGATCTTTCCCAGAGAAACCAGAGGGAGGGAAGGGGTTCAGGACCTTCTTCCAGGAGGATCCAGATGGAAGGAATTGGTTCAGGATGTTTTTCCAGGAGAATCCAGAGGGAGGGAAGAGGTCCAGGACCTTTTTCCAGGAGGATCGAGATGGAGGGAAGGGGTTCAGGATCTTCTTCCAGGAGTTTTCCAGGAGGATCCAGACAGAAGGAAGGGGTTCAGGACCTTCTTCCAGGAGGATCCAGAGGGAGGGAATTGATCCAGGACCTTCTTCCAGGAGAATCCAGAGGGAGGGAAGGGGTTCAGGATCTTCTTCCAGGAGTTTTCCAGGAGGATCCAGAGGCAGGGAAGGGGTCCAGGCCCCTCTGGAGTTGTTTCCTGCTGGACTTCTAATCCAGAGGTTCCGGGTTCGAGTCCCGGCAGAGATGAGCTCCAGCCAGGTGGCCCTTTTATTTTACTGCCCATTCCCGAAGAATTCCCAAAAGATTCCGTGGAGAGACGCTCCTGGTGAATGAACAAGGGATTTTCACAGCAGGAGGGGTTTGTGCTTCCCCTTTTCCAGGAGAAACCAGGTGGAAGGAATTGGTTCAGGACCCTTTTCCAGGAGGATCCAAAGGGAGGGAAGGGGTTCGGGACCTTCTTCCAGGAGTTTTCCAGGAGGATCCAGGGGGAGGGAAGGGGTCCAGGACCTTTTTCCAGGAGGATCCAGAGGGAGGGAAGGGGTCCAGGATCTTTTTCCAGGAGGATCCAGAGGGAGGGAAGGGGTCCAGGATCTTTTTCCAGGCATTTTCCAGGAGGATCCAGGAGGAGGGAAGGGGTTCAGGATCTTTTTCCAGGAATTTTCCAGGAGGATCCAGAGGGAGGGAAGGGGGTCCAGGACCTTCTTCCAGGAGTTTTCCGGGATGGTCCCAACAGGGATAATCTGAGGGGGAAATGGGACCCCCGGAGCAGCTCCGGGAGGGACAGACTGGGAAATTCCTGGAAAATCTGGGAGGATCACAGGGTCTGGAACATCCACAGGGTCTGGAGCATCCATGGGCTTTGGAACAGGCTGTGGAACATCCACAGGGTCTGGAATAAGGTCTGGAACATCCATGGGCTCTGGAGCATCCACAGGCTCTGGAACAGGATCTGGAATAGGGTCTGGAACATCCACAGGGTCTGGAAACATCCACAGGGTCTGGAAAATCCACAGGGTCTGGAACAGGCTCTGGAACATCCACAGGCTCTGGAATGGGGTCTGGAGCATCCACAGGGTCTGGAATGGGATCTGGAACATCCACAGGGTCTGGAATGGGATCTGGAATATCCACAGGGTCTGGAATGGGGTCTGGAATATCCACAGGCTTTGGAATAGGGTCTGGAACATCCACAGGCTCTGGAATGGGGTCTGGAACATCCACAGGCTCTGGAATAGGGTCTGGAACATCCACAGGGTCTGGAATGGGGTCTGGAGCATCCACAGGGTCTGGAATATCCACAGGTCTGGAACAGACTCTGGAACATCCATAGCCTCTGGAAGATCCACAAGGTCTGGAACATCCATAGGGTCTGGAGCATCCACAGGCTCTGGAATGGGATCTGGAACATCCACAGGCTCTGGAGTCTCCTGAGGTTTTTTGGGAATCACCCCCCTGCTGTTCCTCTTCCCCCTTTCCCAGGGCCCCGCCGGGATTGGGGGAGGGATATGAAGGGCGGGAAAACCGGGAATAAATCCCACAAAAATGGGAGAACACAGAGCTCCCCCCCCCCCCCATGGAATTGAGGATATTCCCGGGAAAATAAAATTTGAATTCGCTGACTCAAAATATCCAATGTTTCAGTGGGAATATTTGGATAAAACCGCCCAAAAAATCCAATATTTGGATATAAAGTTCCACTAATTGGGTGGGAATATTTGGAGATGATCCAGGAAATCCAATATTTGGATGGGAATATTCGGATGTCCTTTAAAAAATTCCAGCATTTGGATATAAAAATCCGATATTCGGGTACGAAAATCCAACATTTGGATGCGAACATTTGGGTACAATCCCAAAATTCCAATATTTGGATATAAAATTCCGATAATTGGGTGGGAATGTTTGGAGATGATCCAGGAAATCCGATATTTGGGTGGAAAAATCCAATATTTGGATACAAAATTCCGATAATTGGGTGGGAATGTTTGGAGATGATCCAGGAAATCCGATATTTGGGTGGAAAAATCCAATATTTGGATATAAAATCCCGATAACTGGGTGGGAATGTTTGGAGATGATCCAGGAAATCCGATATTTGGGTGGAAAATTCCAATATTTGGATATAAAATCCCGATAATTGGGTGGGAATGTTTGGAGATGATCCAGGAAATCCGATATTTGGATGGAAAAATCCAATATTTGGCTACGAACGTTCGGATGTAAAATTGAAAAAATCCAATTTTTTTGGGAATAATCCCGGCCCATCCGGGATCTTTGGGTGTTTCCAGTCGCCCCAGGGCCAAGAATTCCGTGTGGGCTGATGGAATTCCCGAGGGAACAACGGCCCTTTGTGCCCGGAGCCGGAATTCCAAACCCCCTCATCCCATTCCGGGCTCCTCCCATCGGATCCGAAGGGATTCCAAAGGATTCCAAGGCTTCCCTTGGAGCTGAGGGGATTCCTGGAGCCCCCTTGGGATGTTCCCAATCCCGGGAATCTCCCAACTGGGATGAGAGGTGAGGAGGATCCCGAGGGAATGTGGATGATCCCGTGGGATTTGTGGCTGGAAAAGGGCGGGAATGGCTCATTCCAGAGGCCTTTTTGGGGGTTTTAGGGTGGGATTTGGTGGGAAAACGATGGGAAAAGGAGTTGTCCAAGTGTTGGATCCCAAATCCCGGAGCTCCCGAGCTTGGAATGGTGCCGGCATTGGGAATATCCATCCTGGAATTCGGGGGGTGGAGCTTTGGGATGAGATTCCTGAGGAGACCCCGGGGAGGAGGAGCCGCTTCCAAAAATCCCCTCGGGAATCGTGGAATTCCCTTAAAGGTCGGGAAAGACCCCGGAGAGAGCAAATCCAAGTGGGATATTCATGGAATTTTGGGGGGTCTCGGCTCTTCCCGACCCATAGAACTGGGAAAAACAGGAGCCAAAAAGTGGGAATTTAATCCCCCCAAAAAATGGCCAAAAGGTTTCATTCCCTGCTCCCAGAGCTTGGGATAAGGGAGCTGACAGAATTCCTGGGAAAACAGGGAACAGGGAAAACAGGAAACAGGGAACAGGGGAAACAGGGAACAGGGAAAACAGGGAACAAGGAAACAGGGAAAATGGAAACAGGGAAAACAGGGAAAGAAGGGGAATAGGGAACAAGGGAAACAGGGAAAATAGGGAAGAGGGAAAACAGGGAAAATAGGGAACAGGGAAAACAGGGAACAAGGAAAACAGGGAACAGGGAAAACAGGTAACAAGGAAACAGGGAAACAGGGAAAGAAGGGGAATAGGGAACAGGGAAAACAGGGAAGAGGGAAAACAGGGAAGAGGGAAAACAGGGAAGAGGGAAAACAGGGAAACAGGGAAAGAAGGGGAATAGGGAACAGGGAAAACAGGGAACAGGGAAAACAGGGAAAACAGGGGACAGGGAAAACAGGGAAAACAGGGAAAACAGGGAACAAGGGAAACAGGGAAAACAGGGAACAGGGAAAACAGGGAACAGGGGAAATAGGGAAACAGGGAAAATAGGGAACAAGGAAAACAGGGAACAGGGAAAACAGGGAAACAGGGAAAAGAGGGAACAGGGAAAACAGGGAAACAGGGAAAACAGAGAACAAGGAAAACAGGGGGAACAGGGAATAGGGAAAACAGGGAAAGAGGAACAGGGAAACCAGGGAACGGGGAAAACAGGGAGCGGGATCCTGGGAATTGTCCCCTCCGGGCACTTCCCGAATCCCGCACAAAGGTCCCGTCCCGCCCTGTTGTTCAAACAAACCCATTCCCGGCGGGATAAATCCCGGGGAATATCGGGAGCCGGGTTTTTTTTTTCTCCAGGGGGTGGAAATCGGGGATATTCCTGGGGTTTTTTTTTTTCCTCCGGGACACCTCCAGGTTTTTCCTGGAGTTTTCCTGCGCTCCCGGAGCTTTTCCAGGCTCCCGGAGATTCCCGGGAGGTGGGAATTGTGGCCCCGCCCCCTTCCCGCAGGTGCCTCTGGAGCGGGATCGGGAAATTCCAGCCGGGATTGACTCGTTCCGGGGGGGGAGGATTTTTCCCAGGAAATGAAATCCCGCCGGGATCCGGGATTGTCCAAGGTGTGTGATCCCTCTGGAGCCGGGAAAAGGTGGGAATGGGGATCCTAATCCCAGGGGTTTGGGATTCAGCCCCAGGGATTTGGGATTCAGCCTCAGGGATTTGGGATTCAGCTCCTGGGATTTGGGATTCAGCTCCTGGGATTTGGGATTCAGCCCCCGGGATTTAGGATTCAGCCCCAAGAGTTTGAGATTCAGCTCCAGGAGTTTGGGATTCAGCTCCAGGGATTTGGGATTCAGCCCCCAAAGTTTGGGATTCATCCCCTGGGATTTGGGATTCAGCTCCTGGGATTTGGGATTCAGCCCCCAAAGTTTGGGATTCAGCTCCATGGATTTGGGATTCATCCCCAGGGATTTGGGATTCAGCCCCCGGGATTTGGGATTCAGCTCCTGGGATTTGGGAGTCGGGAAGGGGCCGTTTGACCCCCAGGCTCTCCCTGATCCCTAAAAACCGCTGGAGAAGGGAATG